GTGGGCTGTGCGGGTGCCGTGTGGGCTCTGTGGGCTGTGCAGGGTCTCCGACGCTTCGTGCAGACCCCGCGCTGCCAGTGAAGGGCAGAAGGAGGCGCGAGGACCCCCGCGGCAGGGCTGCCCCACTTCCGCCTGCAGGTTTCCCCGCCGTCCCGCGCAGGCGATCGCCACGGGCACCTTTCCCGGTTGCAGCGCGGAGCCGCCGGAAGGGGCCCTGGGCGCACTTCCGGGCCGGGCGGTGGCGGCACCGCGGCTGGGCCGGACCGGAGCGACCCCTCGGACCCCCCGGGCTCCCCGCGCCGTGCCCCGACGGACAGCCCGGCGCCACCATGATCACCTCGGCCGGTGAGGCGGCGGCGCGCGGCCGCGTTTGCTCGCCGGGGTTTCGCTGAGTCAGGGCCATGACTGGGCACCGCCGCGGTTCGGCGGAGCCGCCCCTCACGGGGCTCCCCCGGCCCGGGCACCCACAGGAGCTGCTCTGCGGTGCGGCACGGCCGGTGCTGGAAGCGTAGCGCCGCATACGTGATCTGCTGGTCCCTCACGAGGGCTCCGGTGCCCGTGCGGGTTCGGGCGGTGCGGGGGGGGTGAACAGGGGATGTGAGGGGAGGGCTCGGTGCTTCCAGGGGACACCGCGTGGGGGGTGTGAAACCGGGGGGCTCTCAGGGTCCACGGGAGGTGCGGCAGGGACTGAGAGAGGGAACGGGAAGGACTTCGGTGGAGTTCAGGAACGCGAATGCCTCGCGGAGTAACTGTCAGTCCGGAGAGGTCGGGATAATGAGGCGAGTGAGGAGGGAGATGTTACCCACTGTGGGCCTACTGAAAGCTCGAGAGTGTGAGAAAATACGGGAAGTATTTCCAAAAATACTCAGGCCAGGAATTAACACCTGTGTGGTTGTGGCTCTGCCGCAGGAACAGTGCAGAGGACAACAGTCCCCAAGTGCTTTTCTCTTTCTGAGCCCTTTACTTCGTTTAACTCCTACTTTTAAGTAATGGGAAGTAGGAATTCATTTTGGAGGGGCTTTAAAAAATGTAAAAATGACATATTGAAGTGAGATGTGTAGGCAGTGTGTGAGAGAGATTGTTTCCTCCTGAAAGATCAGGAACGCAGGAGCTTATTTAAAATAAAAAATTTTTAAAAAATCACAAAAACCCTCAAAGCAAACGTTTGGAGTAGAGTTTCAGAAAGCAGCTGGAAGGAGCACTGTGGGCTGGGCTGCTGAACCTGCCTTGCCTGCCCAGAAGCCCCATTGGTGCTCCTTCAGTTGCTGTTACTGATGGACCTGTGTCTCACCTGGTTTTTAAAAGATCTCTTTTTTTTTAAGAGATAATGGAGGCTCTGTGACCTTGATAGGCAAAGTGCATAACTGTATTAGTGTGAGAAGACTTTTCATACCATCAAACCTCATTCTGTGAAGCTTCACTAAAGCTTGGTCTTACTCCTCCTGTTCATATCTGACACAAAGGTCAGATTATTCCCTTCCCCCAGCTGCCCTGTACCTGGACTCTGCACCTTTCCCAGATTTCCATAGACCAACTAGTTCCAAGCCTCCAGCCACCTTTCAGGAGCTGATTCCCAGAGCTCCCTGTTCTTCCTGCCCAGCTCTGAACTCCTGGGTTTGCTTGTGACTCTCACGAGATGGTGCCCAGCTCTGGACACGGGGCTGGGCTGGGATGTGGTGCCAAGGGGAGGGAAGGTGCCTCAGGGATCTGCCAAGAACTGCTCTCACACATCTGTGTGAGGGTTGTCTTCTCCTTCTCCCACTGCAGCCAAGTGATATCATTGATCGTGTTTCATCTTAACCCTCTCTGCTGTTTGTATTCTCTGTTTGTACATTTTAGTTTGGACCTGCACATGATCATTTTAGATTTGTCAAGATCTTTTGAAAGCCCAGTTCAACCCATGGCCCTCCAGCCTTCCCAGTTTCACATCTTAGATTTAGAAGGTCCTCAAGCTGTACAACAGA